CACTGCACACAGCAGGTAAGTATAACACGTTTGTTATTTTTTCTTTAAAAAAAAAGAAAAGCCTTTAGAATCACTTTAAGAGCTCATGCACACTGGGGCTTAAAAACGCTTCTTTGGGTTTTGAGGTTGTTCCCCATATGGGCACCCAGTCCCTTCTGCAGAAGAAGCCTCTAACCCTGGGTTCTGTTCAACCCTCGTAGTACCCTTTAGCACCTCTAGGACCTCTCCAGAGGGACTTCCTGACCTTCAAGGTTTTCCTGAACTAGTTTTGGCTGTCTCTCACCTAAATATGCAGTTGGCCAATCAGCATTCTTTGGAGCATGGGTTCTTGTGATGACCCTAGTGTTCTTTCCTGGCATTTCCATTGTTGGATGCTTAGATTGCCTTTTCTGAGCAGTCATTTATTTTGGATCCTTGCACTCAGTTCTCTTCGAAAGAGCCGAACAACTGCAAGATATGACCGCATAGGTGCAGGTGTCCATCATTCATAAATACATGTCACAGGTAGACAAGGCTGTTCAGCCTAACCCTTGCTAAAAAAGGTCTACATCCTGCGTGCCATCAGACTTTTGTCAATAGCCAGGGAGTTCACCCCTTTATCTCTGTCAGAGGTGCTTAAGGCACTGGGGTCCCCTCCTCAGGATGATCTCCTTTTCTTTTGTTGGCTCTCTGTCTTTCTTGACCTCTTTTCTTTTGCCGTGGGTCTGGGCCCTGAGCATGACAGCCAGCTTGTCTCTATGCACCAAGTAATTCCTGTGGGACTCATCAGTCTCTTTAGGCAAGTGGGGTGGTCGGTTCCCCCCACACCAGAAGAACACCAATCTGCCTAAGGATTCAGTGTGGCTCCCTAGATCAGGTTTTTCCACCCTTTTTCAGGAGGCTCACTTCAGTTGGCCTTCCGGGGTGGACTTTGTTGGACATCACATAGGTTTCACAGTACCTTTGCCTCCAGGGAGGTGTGGGAATTTTCCCTGTGACAGGAGAGGCAGCCTGGTCCCTATATTGGATGACGCACTACTCTCAACCGCACTGTGTTCAGTCAAGACAATGCTTTGGGATCTAGTCCTTTTCAGCCATTTGTCTCTGCATTAAAGGAAGAGGTTTGCATACCAGGGTTCTCCTCAGCTTCTGTATGGCCAGGTAGAAATCATCACTGGAGGGATCTATGCAACCCTGTGTTGTCAGCAGACACAGAGATAACATCCAGAGACCTTTGTGGGACCTCCCTTCTGCTGCCCTTAATTGCGTGAATGTTCTTTCTTGTTCTTCCTTCAGAATGTTTTGCTGGCCTGAGGTGGGTCTAGGGATTCCTGGAACCATATTTTGGGATCAAGGTTAGGCTGGTCCTGCAGAGATCTTCCGCCAGGCCGCAGAAGTACCTCTGGGTGATAATGAGGATGGTATTTATCCATCCTCATTTTCTTCTGGTGCCTCTTTTCACCAGTCTGGGGACAATGTTAATTGTCAAGGCAGTCTTTGGAATCTAGTTTTCCTCATAGCTGCTTCCACGCTAAAGGGAGAGGTTTGTGCACCAGGGTATTCTTCGTGTTCTGCATGGCCAGGCAAAAGTCATCACTGGAGAGCCCTGTGCAACTCTGTGTTGTCACCACAGAGTACATCTGGAGGCCTTAGTGGAACCTGATTACCTGGGGACAAAACCCTCTTATGTGGCTTAGCCGCAGCCTCTTGGTGTCATCTCAGTTTCCCAGTGCTGGAAAGTTATTGTTCAGTGTTATACCAGATTCCCATTTTTAGAGACTCACTGTTCAGTGTCATCCCAGATTAACAGGTCTGGAGATTCACTGCTCAGTGTCACATCTTAGTCCCCAAGCCTTTGGGGAGTCCCTGTAGTCTCTGCTCCAAGGAGACTACGAACGAGCAACCTTCTGTATACGGGGGTCACCAAGTCTAAGCTATTCACTGTAGAACAGACAGTTCCCATCTTCGGCTGAGAAACTTTGACATTCAGCTTCACACTTTGTGCAAACCTTGAAGAATCACCGCTTCACCGGCAGCCACCACTGATGTTGAGTATGGCTGTGCCTGGGTGGGAGGTTTGGGGAGTTACTATTGTGTTCCAGTGGGAGGTTTGGGCTATCCCTGATTTCCTTTATTACCTCTAGCTGGAGCAGCTGTTTTTCCTTTCCTGCTTCTACAGGTGACCATTGTATACACATCATAAGGGCAAATATTGAGAATTACACCCGGCATACAGGACAAGAGAAGTAGTACTGTGCAGAGTCCATACATACAGAATAAGAACGGACACCGAGAATTACACCTGGCATACGGGACAGGAGAAGTGGGACTGCAGAGTCCATACATATAGAATAGGAATAGATACTGATAATTACACCCGGCATCCAGGACAGAAGAAGTGGGACTGTGCAGAGCCCATACATACAGACTTAGGACAGATACCAAGAATTACACCCGGCATCCAGGACAGGAGAAGTTTGACTGTGCAGAGTCCATACATACAGAATAAGAACAGATACTGAGAATTACACCCGGCATCCAGGACAGGAGAAGTGGGACTGTGCAGAGTCCATACATACAGAATAGGAACACATACCAAGAATTACACCCGGCATACGGGACAGGAGAAGTGGGACTGTGCAGAGTCCATACATACAGAATAGGAACAGATACAGAGAATTCCTCCCGGCATCCAGGACAGGAGAAGTGGGACTGTGCAGAGTCCATACATACAGAATAAGAGCGGATACCGAGAATTACACCCGGCATCCAGGACAGGAGAAGTGGGACTGTGCAGAGTCCATACACACAGAATAGGAACAGATACCGAGAATTACACCCGGCATCCAGGACATTGTGAGACTGCAGTACAGTGGAGTTTGTCTTCTCTTTTCTCATTACAATGAAGTGATCTAACAATAGATAAAAGCTGCATCATGTGGTTGCCTAATGCAGGAAGTCAGAGCAGTAGTATATGACAAAGCATGATGGGAAATGTAGTTCTCTGTCACAGGAAGTCACTGGAAGGATGATGGAAAATGTAGTCTCTGTTCCTCCTCCAGCCATATTCAGCAGTCCTTCCGGCTGTGTGTGATCCTCATCCTGGGAAGATCAAAAACAAGCAGAGAGTGACACGGATGGACATGATCAGGAATGAGTCCGGGAAGACGATTGTAAGTAATAAATGTTTGTTATTTCCTGTGTGCAGTGATGCTTTAGCTCCATTCACACTGAGCTGAGTGTTTTTTTTAGGTGATTTAGCAGCGTTTTTTCTGCGCGTGTAGATGTGCATTTTTGAAGGGCTCATTCACATTGTGACAGTCCATTTTCCTGTGCAGCATGGTGGATGGGCTTTGGGGGAAGGAGCCCTGCATTGTGACAAGACAAGGCACTGTTTACCTATTTTTTTTCTATTTTATTTATTTACTTGAAATGTCACAAAGTCCGCTGCAGTGCATAGAAATGACAGACATAAAGCTTCATTTTATTGCAGACTTGCTGCAAATGTCCACAACGCAATGCTCTGAGCCTGTGTTCCAGTGTGAACAAGGCACATGAAAAACAATGGTGTGCCCTTGCCAGGAACCTGCATTTTTTTTCAAGTGTTTGTGAGCTCTCATGTATGCAAGCTCATGTGTTTGTTTTGGCAGCAGAGAACAACTGCTCAGGACCAAAAGCGCTTGTGTTGTGCGTTGTTAACAGGAGCTTTCATTAAAGTCATTGGACCCAAAAATGGGTGACACTGTTAAAAAAAACAAACGCTCATATATCTTATCATGATTCAAGCACCCGAGCATGGAGATGTGAACAGCGATAATACAAAGAGCAGAATTCTTAATGTTAAACATTATTGCGCTTAGGGAAATGTGCAAAGATGTCCTAGATTGTAAGCTCGAAAGAGCAGGGCCCTCGAACCCCTCGTGTATTGTTTTGTTACTGTATTGTCTCATCTACTGTCCCCCACTATATTGTACAGCGCTGAGCAAACTTTTTGGCGCTATATAAATACTGTATAATAATAAAACGCTGAGGTGTGGATAGGGATTTAGGCTGGAGCAACACAGGTGATTAGTGATGAGCTCAGGCGATTCTAGACAAAAGTCTGAACCAGCTTGAGCGATCCCACTGGGAAGCTGTGAAAGCCAACTGCCAATTATAGTATGCCTACACCCCCTGTGATTGGCTGTAAGCTTTGGCAGCTTCCCGGTGAGATAACTTAGGGGGGTTCAGACTCGTGTCCAGACCCGCCTGACCTCATCCATACAGGTGACTTTAAGACCTCTCACAAAGGGACACAGCACCTGTAATGTTGCTTTACACTGGATCCTGCTGTTGCCCCCCTTCCTTGGTGCAATGTCTGGAGCCAAAGGGTGCTTTACAGTTCTAGGGCCATTGTCTGCAGCCATCAATGCCCAGTTTTTGAAAACCCTGCGGGGGGGTTGTGCATCGTAGAGGGCAACATCAGGATGGGGTCTTTGTGTAACGTTTTGTTCCTGGCTCAAGTATTATCTAATGGAAATACTTTTACCAGTAAGTGTACTTCTCATAGAACTGAGTAGGTAAAGGCACACAAAATATACTTCTATACACACATATGCACAAAAAATTAACTTTTTGTGTTTCATGTACAACAAATGGTCATTTTAGGAACACGACAGTCTGAATTCAGTGAACTCAGCTAAGTTTTTTTCATACACCAGATTCACCGTGTGTTTCACTGCTGCCCACACCGACCAATAAGGTTATACGTATTGTCCCGTGAAGGTCTGAAAATAAAGAATAAGATGTGATTGGGTCACACTGGGCAGCTCTCATTTCAGACACTTTTATTAAAAGATAAAAAAAAAGCACATTATAATTTACGCTTGTTAATTTTGTTTATAATTTCTGTTACCCATCCTGTGATATGTGAGTAGATGGAGACATCTAAATCATCCACCATGCAAGTCAGCTTTGTGTGTCAGAGATGTAGCCAGCCGCTCAAGTTGGACACTTCCTTCAAAATCCTAGATAAAGCTACAATGCAGGAGCTGACAGGTGAGTGAACCATCAATTGTGTTATGTACATGTCACTTGCTGATCTCAGAATTTACTGCACGTCAGGCATGGTTTGATTAAATAGCGTGGTCCTACTTTTGCATGGTTAATAATGTGGTCCTCCTTTCCGTTCTATGAAAGAAAGGAATACAAGTGCACACTGGTAAGCCACCAGGTTCCAAGTGTATCAGACTTCATCTTTGCCTCCTCCCAAGCCACGCCCTCTAGCACGTTTCACCCACTCGTGGGCTTAGCCGTAGAGGTGACACATCTCCACTCCGACTTCTATGACTAGGCCCATGAGTGGGTGAAATGCATTAGAGGGGTGTGGCTTGGGAGGAGGTAAAGCTGAAGCCTTTCCAAGCACCGAATCACTGAGCTGTGTATGGAGCTGTCAGTTAAATAATGCCCTTGCTGTAAGTGTAGGCTATTTGTTTGCCTCTTGAAGCCTGGGCTGAAAAACTCCCAGAGATGGCATCATCCCATCCTGCCGTGTTGCTAAGACACTCCCAGCTGATCCAAACTCCATCACATGTGCTCTCTCCTTTGTTGCAGTAGCTCTGAGCTCAGAGATTCTGCAACAGAGGATATGGTGGACCACACATGTGCGAGGGTTTGGGCGCTCGCTCCTGTGATGGTTCGGAAGAGCAATAATGGCTGGGAGTGTCTTAGCAACATCCTAGCAGCAAGGCAGGATGGGATGATTTCATCTCTAGTTTTTTTCATCCAGGCTTCGGTAGATACATAAATGGCCTACACTATATCAAGGGCATTATCCAACTTTAGTCAATACTGCAGTTTTTTATCGACAGGCACCTCTTACCTGCATAGGCCATTTTTTTGGTAAAGGTGACGTAATAACCCTTTAACTTAAGTTTTCTCAGGCAACCTCTGTGTGCACTTACAACCTACAGGATAGAATAAGAAGGCGCTTCTAAGTGCAGTATATCCAGAAGAATCTTTAATAATGACTGTTAGAAACACAAATCCGCTGTGCCGGCCAGCAGCTGCAGGAGGAGCTGTGGACCAGTTGCCCAAGATGGCCGCCGCAAGTTCCGGAATCGCTGGAGCGCACACTGTAAAGGAGACCGCAACTGGAAGTGACATGGGTGTGGAACGGTGAAACGTTTCGGAGCATGCACAGAGCTCCTTCTTGAAGACTGATTGGTCTTGAAGATGGAGCTCTGTGCATGCTCCAAAACGCGTCACTGATCCATGCCCGTTCCCAAGCCACGTATCTTCTGGTTGCGGTCTCCTGGACAGCATGCGTTCCAGTGATCCCGGAAATTACGGCGGCCACCTTGGGCAACTGATCCTCAGATCCCCCTGGAGCTGCTGGCCAGCACAGCGGTTTCTTGCATGGTGGATTGAGCCTCTGCACTCTTGACAATTCTATTGAGCTTGTTTTAACTACAGGTTTGTAAGTGTTTCTAACTGTCATTATTAAAGATTCTTCTGGATATTCTGCACTTAGAAGTGCCTTCTTGTTCTATCCTCTTCCATATATAGAGTGTGCTTCTACTCCTAGAAGTGCTGCCTGGTCCCTGTTGTCCAGTGTCTCCTCCATCCGCAGCTGACATCTCTCGGTCCACAGCCTCTCCCATTGATGTGCTCTATACATTTCCTCTACTTATAACCTACAGACTATACCCTTATCCATGTCCTAGTCTCTACTGAGGTTAATATCATCCACTTCCTTGTGGAATTTTGGGACTCACCTTCCCCTCCTCAGAGATCAGCTGGTTTGTCTAAATGTGCACCAATTTGTACTATCCCCCTCCTTTTATATTTCATGTTTTTGAAATAATTTGCACATGTGGCCTGGGAGAGATGCAGGTTCATCCTTCCAAAGCTGACCAACATTATCCTCCCAATAGGCCACCCTCCATTATTGGAGCTCTATCCAATATGGATGAGGATGCCTAAGAGGGTAATCCTTAATCTGGACCCTCTACCTGTGGATAGCACCTATAGTTATCTTATGTACCGTTTTCATTGTTTACTGCTTTATTGGTCCTTATTCAATATCTGGTTTGGGAATACCTACACGTATTCTGTACTGGTCATGAAGAACTTACTTAAGCCACCTTTTATGCAATGTCATTTTACCATTGTTATCTGGATTTTATATCTACAGCATCACTTGCTGTATTGTCATAGCATGTAAGAGGTTTATGTTCAGAGATTGGCTTTGGCTAGAACATAAATAGTAATGCTTCAAGTACGATCAATTGTACCATTTTCCCCCTTTTTCCCCCTTACCAAGGGTAAGAGGGATAGCTATAACAATCTATAAAGACTGCCCCTTTGTGTCGAATGATCAGCCTTGGATCCCCAGGGCAGGTAAGTGTTTATTAAAGATGATTTCCAGGTTTCATTTAATGTTAAATACCTTGTTTGGACCAAGCTTGGTCCAAATAAAAAGGAAGCCTGTTGTGCTGTAGTGTAACATGCTTTAGTGAATGGAGGTGCGTGTGTTTATTCTCAACCACATGCCCAACGTGAGTTTCATTCTCGTACCATTATGATATATACAATGATAAAGGAATGAATGCTACAGATGTATACCTAAACATGGACACCACCACTATCATGGTATTCATAGCTGAAAACAATACATGTCTCTTGTAGCTCCATTGGTGACTACTGTGGCTGTGAAACCAGGAGAAAGCCAAGAGGAGGACCTAAGTACTGAGGTAAAGAACTACACGGTTTCATGTACAGATTAGGGGATTGGGGACCTGGATACCAAGGTAAGGGGCTACACCTGGTATTGTACAAATTCAGAAGGACCTGGGTATTGAGGCAAAGGACTAAACTATTTATTGTACAGATTTAGAGATTGAGAACCTCAGTACCAAGGTGCGGAACTACACTGTGTATTATAAAGATTTGGGGATTAGGGACATCAGTACTGAGGCAAGGGACTGCACTGTGTATTATTGAGATTTCGATATTTGGGACCTTAATACTGAGATAGATAGGGGACTACATGTGTATTGTGCAGATTCGGGTAATGAGGACTGGTACTAAGATAAGGGACTACGTTGTGTTTTGTGCAGATTCAGGGAGGACCTTAGTAATGAGGTAAGGACAGCACTGGGTATTGCACAGATTCGGGGATTAGGGACCATAGTACTCAGGTAAGGGACCATACTGTCTATTGTGCAGATTCAGGGAGGACCTTAGTAATGAGGTAAGGAAAGCACTGGGTATTGCACAGATTCGGGGATTAGGGACCATAGTACTCAGGTAAGGGACCATACCATCTATTGTGCAGATTCAGGGAAAACCTTAGTAATGAGGTAAGGGGACGGCACTGGGTATTGCGCAGATTCGGGGATTAGGGACCATAGTACTCAGGTAAGGGACCAAGCTGTCGTGCAGATTCAGGGAGGACCTTAGTAAAAAGGGTAAAGGACTACTCTGTGTAATGTACAAATTCGGGAATTAGGGACTATAGTACCAAGGTAAGAAATATAATGTGTGCTGTACAGATATGGGGAATAGGGACCATTAATACCAAAGTAAGGGACTATGCTGTGTTTTGTGCAGATTCATTGAGGGCCTGAGTAACAAGGTAAGGAACTATACTGTTGTACAGATTTTGGAATTTGGAAAGTCTGTCTGTTGTACAGATTTTGGAAAGTACCAACGTAAAGGACTACACTGTTCACTGTACAGAATCGAGGACTGGTTCCCGGGAGCGCTGTGTAAAGCTCTGCTATCTCTACAATATTATATTGGTTGTACTGATAGGAGGAGTCTGAGTTACTGAAAGCTGGAGAACACTTCAAGGATAAGATCACCTTTTAGACACAAATAATAAATGCACTTTTTTTGCAGGTAAAAAAATGTGCGTTGTAGTATTTTTGCAGGAGCCTGGAAAGCATTGCACCAGCCATCAGTAGATCGCTCCTGCAATGCAGATATTATGACAGGAAGCTTCAATGAACTACCACAGCGCTGCAGTTCATTCATTCACGGACGTCTGTGAATGAGTGACGTGGAAGTGTGGGCGGAGCCCTGCACGGCCCGCGCTCTTTTCAAATTTGACAGTATGGGGAGAAATCTCCCTGTACTATCTGTCAGAGGGAGGGGGGCGGCGGTGGCTATGGGAACATGTTACATGTTCCACTCTAAAAATGGGTGGAACATGTAACCTGTTCCCAAAGGTGAATTTATCCTTTAACCACTTCCAGACCGGACAGTTTTACCCCCTTCCTGACCAGGGCAATTTTCAGCTTTCAGCGCTATCACACTTTAAATGGCAATTGCGCGGTCATGCAACACTGTACCCAAATGAATTTTTTACCATTTTTTTGAGACAGATAAAGCTTTATTTTGGTGGTATTTATTCACCGCTGGGATTTTTATTTTTTTTGCTATGTAAATGGAAAAGTCCCAAAATTTTGAAAAGTGTTTTTTTTTATAAAATTTTGCAAATAAATAATATTCCATCATAAATCTTGGCCAAAATTTATTCCGTTATCTTTTTAGTAAAAAAAAAATACAAATTAGTTTCTAACCAAAAATTATAATTTTTAAACATTTTTTTTTACATTTTTATTTTATTTTTTTATATTAATTTTTTTTTTTTTACGTACTGTAACCCTAGCAGTACAGTGTCACCATGGTGACACTGTACTACTTGTGGGGGGTGATGAAGATTTTTTTTTTTTTTTTTTACACTGATTGCTTTTACATCCATATAGGATGTAAAAGCAATCATTTCTCTTTCTCTCTGTCTGCATTCTTGCACTCATTGAGAAGTACTGGGTGAGCTGTGATTGGTCACAGCTTGTCACATGGTACAAGGCTGTTGTGAATAGCCTTGTACCATGTGACCTCTGTGATCATTCACAGATTTCACACGTAGTAAGCAATGATGTCAGAAGTGACATCTTGCTTACTACTTTGCATGTGATCACTGATTGGCCAATCAGTTATCACATGAGCGGGACCTCGTACAGAGGTCCCATCCAACGATCGGTGTTTCACTGGAGGACACAGCAGGCACTGGATTGCGGTGCTGCGCGCTCCCAGGGAGCGCGCGCAAGCAGGGTGCGGGGAGGCCGTTTATAAACGGCCACCTGACCCTGCAGTGCCACCGTCCGGCCGTTTATATGCAACGGCCGGTCGGGAAGTGGTTAACCAAATGTATGTCAGCTATCATGGTTTAAGTACAACCTTGAAAATAAAAGTGACTTTCTGATTAGTTACTGGGAGGTCACTTTCCACTTTTTCTTTCCTAGGCAGATAATGTGATTGTGACGGGAGCGACTTTTGGGGGTGGGGGGGACCTCTGTATCATCTTCCCAAATTCTTATGTTTAAGTGACCCTGTGCCTGTTGGTGTACAGGGTGTGTATGTGAATGTCTATTGTGTTTGGTGTGTTGTCCTTTGTTCTCCGCCACATGGCTGTCTATTGTCCTTTTTTGCCATGTGCTGCCCCATTGTTCTGTGTCTTGGTTGGATGGGGAGGGGTGATGATGTATTTCCTGGTTGTGTTTCCCCCGCCCTGTGTATATAACTTGTGTGTGTAAAATAAAGGAGTTGACTTCCTGTTTTAAGAAGAGTTGAGTGCTGTCTATTTCCTGAGGGATTTCAAGGGTGTGGTCCGTGGATTTGTGTTTGGATAGGGAAGCTGCGATATAACGGAATATACCCAAGTGCGGTCTGGGGTCCGGTTCCGTAACAATGATGATCAGAAACACAAGGAACTTTATCAAAACTGGAGCAGCCAGAAACGAGTAGCTGTGCATGACAACCAATCAGCTTCTATATTTCATTTTCAAAGCTTAACTGAACAGGCTAAAGATAGAAGCTGATTGGTTACCATGCACAGCTGCTTCAGATTCTGTCTGCTCTGGTTTTAAAATCTTTCTGTACATCCACTTTACATTGAGAATATCTGTATGCTTTTGAAGGTTTGTGCTGTGGAGCCACACAGACCAGCGGTGTGTTGTTTCAGTAACTGCAATTTCTCATCTTCTGAAGCTGCGCCATTTGTTTTTTTTCTATTTTTTGACACAGGAAACGTTTCTAGAAAACAGACAGGATGGTGTGTCAAGAAGACTAATTCCACCCGCTAGGTATGGGTGCCAAATGCTATGCTATAAGTTACCAAGTTATTTTCTGTGGGAATTCTGCACTTATTCTCATGTACACTGCAGCTGATAAACTGACGTTCAGGAGCTGTTCAGCGGTTTTTTCAGCAGCCTCTGAACTCTCCTTAATTTTATCAGTGTTTCAAATGCGAAATGCTTGTAAACGCGGCAAATCGCATTTATAAGCGTTTGCGTCTGAAAATTTTTTATAACTCTTCCAGTTCCCAATGCTGTCAAGAGCCTTTTTTCATCATGAAAAATGCATGCAAAGCATTTTCATGGTGCTCAGATGGACAAAACACTGAACACAGGATGTTCCTACCAAGCTTGTCACACATTGTAATGACCAATTCACACCTCAGACCTCTCCCACCCTTGGAAACAAAAGATATGTTAATGACCATTCACTTCACACCTCAAATTCCTCATGAAGACCCCATGCCAGGTGGCCTTAATGACTCCCTCCACCAGTCACCTTACCACCCTTGGAAACAAAAGAAATGATAATGAGCAACTCGCACCTAATTATCTAAACACATACTGCTCTCTCTGCTTCTACTCTCTGTATTTCTCTGAAACAGTCTAAAATAGTTAATAATTTACCGCTTTTCAGTGCATTCTGGGCATTTGGAGGTTCTCCTGTGCTTATCTTTAAAAAACGCTTCTAAACGCAAACGCACATTAAACGCGGTATACAAACACGGCTAAACCGACATTTTTTAACTTACGTTTTCCAGCAGTCAGTTTCCATCGTTCAGAAGTATCCCGTGTACATGGGGCCTTAATATTATGAGAAAATTAGCATCATTTAAAAGGCAGAAATGGCAGGATTAGTCATCACAAAGCAAAGTGGTAGTGGAAATGCAATAAACTTAAAGTGAATGACCTCCTCCTCTCCTTTTCTCCATAAATTAAATATACTAAATCAAGTGATCTATAACATGAAAGGTATACATGTAAAACTCTGCCAACATTGCCAATAAGACCAAAAATTGGCAAAAAAAAAATCCCTCTGGAACTTCCCGGCAGACTAGTATATACAAAATCAATCTTAAAAGCAATATCAATCTTTATTGCTAGATATATATTATTCGTAAGAACAAAGGAACCACAGAGGTTATGGGCCTTTATGGACTGATTTTGTATATTCTAGTCTGCCTGTGAAAGTATCACTGTGATCGTCAGCAGCAGGAGAATTTATTTCGGGTTGCTCTTTGGTAGTAGGCTATAGTAGTAGCAAGATATAGACAGCTCAATTTAAAAAAAAATTCTTTTTTTTTTTTTTTTTTTTTTTTTTTTTTTTTACTATTTTAGACCAGATTTCCTTTTGATTAAAAAAAAAAAATCAGGAGATATCCATTAACATTTACCACCAAAATAAATCCCAATTTGTCCTAAAAAATAAACAAGGTGTAATCCACCTGGATGCACAAATTAGTTAATGATGTAAAAATTGTGCTCAGGTGTTAAGATTTGTTTTACCCTCAGTCACTAAGGCAGTGGTTCTCAACCTGTGGGTCGTGACCCCTTTGGGGGTCGAACGACCCTTTCACAGGGGTCCCCTAAGACCATCAGAAAACACATATTTCCGATGTGTAGAGAGCAGCTACTGTGTAGAAAGCAGCTGCTGTGTTGAAAGCAGCTACTCTGTTAAAAGCAGCAGTATTAGAGGTAAAACGACACTTCATGAATTATAATTACTGGGTAAATAATTTTATGGTTGGGGGGTCACCACAACATGAGGAACTGTATTAAAGGGTCATGGCATTAGGAAGGTTGAGAACCACTGGCCTAGGTTTAGGCTGCTTCAAATCCTCCTGTCTCTTCATGTAATCCCAGACAGACTCCATGATGTTGAGATCAGAGCTCTGTATTGGCCAAACCTTCACCCTATATAAAATGCCCTTTACTGGGGTGTCATGGGTGTCGCTTTATTATTCTCAAACCTGGAGTGTCCTGGGTGTCACCTTATTCTGCCCACTCCTGGGACGTTCTGGATGTCGCCTTATTACACTGTCCACCCTGAATGTTGCCTTATTATACCACCCACTCCCAGGGTGTCTTGCAAATCGCCTTATACTGCCCACTCCTGGGGTATCCTGGATGTTACTTTTATTATAGTGCCCTTTCACACTGTATCTTGGGTGTCGCCTTAATATTCTGCCTACTCCTGGGACAATCTGGCTGTCACTCTTATTATACTGCCCATTCCTGGAGTGTTCAGAATGTCACATTAAAAAGCTACCCACGCCTGAGGTGTCCTGGATGTTGCCTTATTATAGTACCCACTTCCAAGGTGTCTTGGATGTTACCATATACTGCCCACTCCTGGGTGTCCTGGATGTTGCAGTATTTATAGTGCCATCTCCTGCAGTGTCCTCGGTGTCTCATTATTCTGCCCACTTGTGGCATGTGCTTTATGTTGCCTTATAACAGTGCCCATGCACGAGGTGTCCTGGGTGTTGCCTTATATGGGCCCCTCCTGGGCCATTCTGGATGTCACCTTATTAGACCGCCCACTCTCTGGGTGTCCTGGTATTGTGCTTTTTACTGCCCAGCCTTGGGTGTAACCTTATTATGTGGCCTACTCCCAAGATGTCCTAAATATCACCTTACTATACTGTCAACGCTTGGGGTATCCTGGATGTGCCTTTATTATACTGGCTACTCCTGGTTTGTCCTGGGTATCCCCTTTTGTACTGCCCACTCCTGGGGTGCCCTGGATATCCCCTTATAATATTGCCCACTCCCAGGATGCCCTAAGTGTTAGTGCTTGTCAGGGAAGTCCCTATATGTTTAGTTTTGCCAATGACAGGGACAAGGTTCATAAAAGCATTGTGCATAAACTCCAACACATTGTGTATCATTTTTCTCTTTTCTTGACTTGTCTGTTGGTTCTATATGCCAGGGGCGGACTGACAACTCATGGGGCCCCTGGGCAATAGGGGATCATGGAGCCCCTGTGACCTTGCCCAAACTCAAAAAAGCCTATGAAAAAGATACCAGGGGCATCTCATGGGGCCCCCTACTGACCCCGGGGCCTCGTGGCAGTGCCCGAGTTTCTAAATGGTCAGTCCGCCCCTGTATATGCCACATTTATGGTCTCACCATATGTCGTTTGTTGACTTTGATTTTACATTTTCATACCACTGATAATGTGTGTGTTAGTAGCAATATTCTAAGCTGTATTTCTTTCACATTAAGGATGATGTCCACAGAAAGTGCAAACAGTTTCACGCTAATTGGAGAAGCATCTGATGGAGGAACAATGGAGAATCTAAGCAGAAGACTCAAGGTAATGATGATTGTTTCCACAAACAGGAGAATCACACTACAAGGGTCACTATTGCTTTTATCTTCTAACCATCATTATTTGATAAATACTGTATATCAATATTGGTGTCATTCCTCTTTCTCTGGCTCATTAAAGCACACTTGGTTAAAGGAAAGATACAGTGATAACAGCAGTTAGGTGACATCTTTTATCTGCTGTACAAACACATAAAAGGTGAAGGATCCTGGCACAGTTTGTAATGGAGATCGCTTGTGCCCTCTAGCCTCCATCCTACGATGCCTAAGACCTTTGCCTCCATCCCACAGTAAAATACTTGAGATCTCCTCTATCCCACAGAAAAATATCTGAGACCTCCTCCTCCTCCATCCTACAATACAATGCCTAAGTCATTGGTCTCCATCCCACAGTAAAATGCCCGAGAGACCCCCTTCTCCAGCCTACAGTACAATGCTTGAGGCCTCCACCTCTGTTCCACAATATGATGCCCAAAGCCTTCACCTCCATCCTTCAGTGTGATGCCTGAGACCTCCTCCTTCAGATCTGATTTTAGACAATAAACCACATTACTTTTCCGTCTTAGGGTGAAACTTGTCAAAGGGGCAAGATCTGTCTGGATCTTGCTTTGTCAAGTTTCAGCTTGTAAACTGTTTTTCACCTGTGGGTGAGGTTAATCAGCCTAGTACGAAGGTCCACAACTTGTTTACCTTTAGGCCCCTATCAGACGGAGTAACATTTTCTTTGTCCTTATGGGATCATTGGAACCCACCTCTGAGGGTCATCCAGCCAAGACCAGACTACCCCCCTGTGGCAGCAGGGACTCGAACGCTCTCTTCTTTTTTTTTGTTCTTGGCCTATTTCAGCTCTGTGTTCTCTGCTATGGCTAGTCTAGTTCCTGAGCAGTGAAACATGTATGTCTCTAGGAAATGGGTAGTGGAATGATCCTTCAGCTTCTCTAGGTGGCTTGTTTTTTTTTTTTTTTGTTTTTGTTTTTTTTCACTCATTGGAGAACAATTATCCCCAGGGCTACTTTCTGGTCTTCCAGATAAGGTGGTTTCTTCCACATTGTGGGGTCCCACCTTGGGCAGGTCTCCTGGTTCGAACTTTGTTGGAGTCAGTCTAGGTGTCTTTGTGCCTTCAGCACTGAGGAGGAGTGGGAGTCCTTCCTGCCTCAGGGAGAGTAGTCCGGTCTTGGCTGGAAGATAATGCGAGTGTCACCCTGGCTTGCAGTGATTCCCTTAAAGTGTGTAGTCTCATTACCTTTTATTCCTTGCCTATGTTTCAGCTTGGGCTGGTGCCATGACCACTGCTCCATGTTTCCTGTTTCAGGGTTTCTCCTTTCTCTTGCAGCATCCTATGTAGCCACCCTTGCATGCATGGACTAGAGTTGTGTCTTACTACATTGTGTGCATCAACACAAACACAAAGCCTAGTAGCCTAGGATGGCAAGGTACTCCTTGTGCCTCCCTCCTCATCCCTTCTTAAAGTTAACAGAATAGCTACAGATTTCACTGTCCACTGTTATCTTTTTCCTTGGAGGTGTTGCTGAGATTCCTGGCCCCTGCTCCACTGCTGCTGACTATTTTCTGGATCTGGAGGATCAGATGCTTTCTTAAGCTTATGTCTTAGGCAAGACAGTACTTCAGCAGGAACCTTCAGGATGGCCCCAGAAAAACCTATAGTGTGCTAGAGCAGATGTATTGGCCTTATTCTCCGTTTTGTCTGGCGGTTTCTATCTCATCAGTCTCTGGCTAAGGTCTTCCATTTCCTGCCAACCCTTGTGGGGGTGCCTTCCATACACCCTACTTTTTCTGTTTCTTACGTTGACTTACTGGGATCAATCCCAGGTTTTTTGGCATGCACAATAGTCACTTTTCACCCCCTGCAGGCTGTTTTGTGGGTTTTCGGTGGGTTCAGTCTGTGTGGTTATTCACTCAGGTGGTAAACTTTTCAATCACGGTACAGAAAGGTTAATATCCAGTTGAATCTCTGTGTCCTTCATCTGGTTGTGTTGAACGGTTCCCCTATCTCAGGGGTAGGCAACCTGTGGCTCTCCAGCTGTTGCAGGACTACAAGTTCCATCATGCCTCTGCAAATCATAGCTGTAACTGTCAGTTTTCTAATGTTGCAATGCCTCATGGGAAATGTAGTTCCACAACAGCTAGCGAGCCGCAGGTTGCCTACCCCTGCTCTATCTGGTAGGAGACTATCCTTATCCAGGTCAGATTTGGACATTATCCCTTCAGTTGGCTCCTGGGCTGCAGACATGCACAGTTCTCTTCTTGGCCTTGTTAATGTTGAATGCCCATCCCTCAGTTGGGCTGCCTTTGGACTTCCTAATGGTGTCCGATTTCCTTTGTCTCTCAGTGGAGAAGAAAGAAGTAGAATTTTTTTACTTACAATAAAATCCTATCTGTGGAGTCCATTTAGAGACATAGGTACCGACCCCCTTTGTTCTGCTCAAGTTCTTGGTAACACTTGCTACAAACTGAGGAAAGCTGGATAAAGGAATGGTTCTCCTGGGCCTGACCCACAGTTTTTTTTTTTTTTTTTTTTTTTGCCCAGTCCTTCTAAGCAGCCGTATAACCTGACAGTATCTGAATTCCTGTGTCCCTCAATTCTGAGAGAAGGCTTTTAAAGGTGAGTATCCTATATTTGTGTTCCATTGCTATTATCTGGTAAAGTATAATTGAAGGCAAAACATTTCAAGTTTTGGATAGAGTGGAGAGGGATTGGAATGCCTAATTGTTTTTTATTGGTGTCTGTACCTGTTAGGGAGTTTCACCCTATTTATCCTGTTTAATGTTTTCATCGAAAGTGAAAGTTAAAGAAAATCCCAAATTTTGGGTTGTCCCCAGAAAAGTAATAGAAGGGAAATCCTCCAATGGGGGCACTAGTTTTGATAGCCTGGGGGTCCCCAATAAATTTCCTTAATTTGCAGCGATTTCCTCTCACTTCCTGTTTGGTTATGGGACAGGAAGTGAAGGGGAAATCTCTGCAATGGGATACAGATGGCGGGCTGGGGGGGAACCTGACAGGGGTTATAACTCTCCCTTGCTCTATCCAAAATGAAAAAGACATTTCCTATAGTTCTTCTTTAATCAAATAACAGTGAAAGAGAAGTCAGAAGACTCTCTGTAGTGCAGACTCTGTCCCTGCAGTCATTCAGCCAGGAGACTTGGCACATTCCCTGGTCAATGGATGAGCACAGGTAGCTTGTACAGATCTGTACACAAAATACAACAGCAAGGGCATACAATAATGAAAGTTGGGACAAAAAGTAATGTTATTAGTGATCAAAAGCAAAAATTTGCTGAAACTAATTTCACTTTTGAGCAACTTTTGTCCTCTGTATTACGTATTTGAATCGTCTGGATAATGAACTCCTTGCATATGAAAAGGGAAATTCAGTGTTGTACTTGTTTTTCAGGTGACTGGCGATCTGTTTGATATCATGTCTGGACAGACGGATGTGGATCACCCTCTTTGTGAGGACTGTACAGACACCCTTCTGGATCAACTTGATACTCAGCTGAATATAACAGAGAACGAGTGTCAGAACTACAAGTAAGAGATGTAAAGGCTTTCTGTACAACAAATGGAAATGGTGATTATTGTGCTTAAAGGATAGGCTCCCCCTTTTTTTTACATGTTACAGACGTATTTAGAGTGTAATATGTTCAAGCAGACCCCACTTCTCTGCCTTAGCCCCCCCCCCTTCTCTGTGACAGCGGGTGGGGATCCCCTCACCTGCAGCCACTGTTGCATTAAAAATCAGCGTGGCTGTATGGGGCACCTCCTGCTTAGCTGCATCCAGGGGCAGACTGACAGCTCATGGGGCCCCCGGGCAATAGGGGATCATGGGGCCCCTGTGTCTTTGCCCAAACTCAAAGCCTATGAAAAAGCTACCAGGGGCATCTCATGGGGCCCCCTACTGACCCCGGGCCCTCGGGCAGTGCCCAAGTTTCCAAATGGTCAGTCCGCCCCTTGCTGCATCAATCTATAAGTCCCATCTGCCTCTGTGAACGATGAGCTTGTAGTTTTAAATGCACTATTCGCACGCTATTCAGTGCCCTCATAGTCCATTGACACTTTCTACAGCTCTGAAACTGACAGCCTGACAGAGGTGTAGGAAGTGTCTGAAGCAGCCTGACCTTGCACCCACAATCCATTGAGCTCAGGTGCGACATTTTGCATGCTCCTGTAAAAAAAAAAAAATCCACAATTTTTTTTTTTAACCTGCAAAAATATGTGCATTTATTTTTTTAATAATCAAAGTCCTCCTGCGCTTAGGTGAACCTGTGGCTAAAGCTACTAACACTTAACCATATACCAATTAAAATGGGCAACCCAAATTGTAAATTGTGGAGCTGCGCTAATAAACTATATGTGAACCCCAATACGTGATATTCAGTAAATAGGTAAACAATATCCCCTTATAAATCAATTAAATCAAAATATGACATATACCCCAAAATATACCTCTACACCACCTCTACTAAATGAGTAAACAAAATAATCCACACATACATACACAATAATTATACACATATATTGAATGCCGTGAAGCCAAATGAACTTCTGAACGGCAACACCAGTGAATAAATAAAGTGACATAACCGCATGTAAACGTTACATGCCCTGGATAAGCAGGTTGAAAGAAATAATAGTGATCCCACTAGGGAATAAAAATCAAAGTGAATCACTGAAACCACTCCTTGTGGTAAACATGAGGAAAAAGAAAAAGGAAAAGAGGAATCAAAAAGGTAAACACATGTATATGCTCAAAATGATTTGTGAATCTAAACAATGCCAGTGATCCCACTATGGGATAAATACAGTGGATTTGTGAAACCACAAATGGTGGTAATTGTGAAAAAAAGAAAATCAGGCTCACCGCCTGTAAATCATTAATCACTTACTTAAACGATAGTGACCCCCTACTAGGGATAAGTAAACACCAAAAAAAATATGCTAAATGCCTATAGATACTGACGTGATTTGTAACCCCAAATGGGGGTTGTGAAAATAAGTGACTTCAAACAGTGCTTTACACTTTCCGTATATCCATAAACATGCCTGAAGAAGTCACGTGACATCATGATGTAATACGTGGGCTCGTGGTGACACAGCTTCCGGCGTGCTGATTCAGCTTCCGGGACGGATCACATTGCAAGCCACCCGCTCTATCTGTGCTCGCCACAAAGAAATTTCCCCTCGCATTTGGCGAGCAGGCAAGTGGAAATTTCAAGCCCTGGTCTATAACATATCAGGTGGGAGGAGCACAGCACCTTTCTTTCTCAGGTGACATTAAAGGCACAAAATAAGCCGGCCATAGATGGATCTCAATTCAGCCAATTCAGGAGGGATCGATCGAATTTTGCTCCATCGGTTGACTTCAGTACAACCGGCCTTTCGGGTTTGTTTTGTTCGATCACTGCGGGTGGCTACATCCACGAGCAGTGATAATTGTGTTCTGATGGAGGGGAAACCGCTTGCTGTAAGAATACAAAAGCTTCCTGGGAGGGATTCCCCCATCAACACTGACTGTGTTGATGGGGGTATCGAGTCATTTTCTTTCCTGCAACTTGTGGTTGTAGGAAAGAAAATTGCTTAACATATGGCCTGCCATAGAAGTACAGCTCCTGGTTTAAGAAGGCCTGGGCTATGAGGGGGACATCCCTGCAGGTTCCAGAGAAGTGAACACATTGTCTCAGCCTCTTAAACTTTCTTGTGGTTTCAGACGGTGCCTGGAGATCCTGGAGAGCATGAATGAGGATGATAAAGAGAAACTGGAAGCCATGTTGAAGGAGTTAGCTGAAGATGAGGAAAGACTGATTCAGGAATTAGAAGAAGTGGAGAAAAATCGAGAACAGATGGCTCAAGACATAGAGAAAGTCAGACAAGAAGCAGAGAGGCTGGAGCAAGAAGAGGCTCAGTAAGGATGTTATTCTGTATAATAAATGGTATAATGGCTTTGTACTTGTCTCTGCATTATGAGAAAATGACAAAACAACAGATTGACTTTACTAAAGATGATTCCCAGTTCAAACAGAATAGTCTGCATGCTCCTCCGTCTGGTACAACCTGCAGTCAGCCAATGCTGGGAGAATGCAGGGTAGGGGGTTGTTCAGCTCCATACAGAATGCATCTTCATCTCCAGACTCTTCCTTCATATTGACGTTTCGGAGACTGTAGGAGTTAAAGCCCAGGATCCATAGTGAAAGTATTCTGATGTCATAAAGCTTCCTATTAAAGGAAGATCTCATCTGGTTTCCAGTGCATGAGCCGTTCTAAGGCCTTGTTTACATAGATGTTACCCATCAAAACCTTGTCCAGATCCTCTCAAGACTCTAGGAGGCCTTTTCAATAGTTTACATTGCATTCATGTGAAATTTGTAAATCTTTGGAGGAGATGATTAACCCTGCTATATTGACAGAGGTTGTTGCATAGTTAAAGGGTTTTTGAATTGTGTACCAGAGTTTGGCAGTTTTGGCCCTGATCCAGGCTCTACCCACTTGTCGGCATGCCTTACTCTTTCGTTACACGTAAGTGAATAGCTCATCGTGCTGGCAAATGACTGCCATTACCTCTCTATTATACACATGAGCTTCGTAGGACAGTTTTATCAAAGTAATCATTCTCCAGGAGGGTGGAAAGTCCAGTCAGTAGTACTTTCAGCTTGGGGACTGTATGGAGTACTTGGTGTTTCAGGACTGTATGGAGTACTTGGTGTTTCAGGACTGTGTGGAGCACTTGGTGTTTGGGGTCTGTATGGAGTACTTGGTGTTTGGGGTCTGTATGGAGTACTTGGTGTTTGGGGTCTGTATGGAGTACTTGGTGTTTGGGGACTGTATAGAGTGCTTGGTGTTTGGGGACTGTGTGGAGCGCTTGGTGTTTGGGGAGTTTGTGGAGCGCCTGGTGTTTGGGGACTGTGTGGAGCGCCTGGTGTTTGGGGACTGTGTGGAGTGCCTGGTGTTTGGGGACTGTGTGGAGCGCCTGGTGTTTGGGGACTGTGTGGAGCGCCTGGTGTTTGGGGACTGTGTGGAGCGCCTGGTGTTTGGGGACTGTGTGGAGCGCCTGGTGTTTGGGGACTGTGTGGAGCGCCTGGTGTTTGGGGACTGTGTGGAGCGCCTTATGTTTGGGTACTGTGTGGAGCGCTTGGTGTTTGGGGACTTTGTGGAGCGCCTGGTGTTTGCGGACTGTGTGGAGCGCCTGGTGTTTGCGGACTGTGTGGAGCGCTTGCTGTTTGGGGACTGTGTGGAGCGCCTGGTGTTTGGGGACTGTGTGGCGCGCCTGGTGTTTGGGAACTGTGTGGCGCGCCTGGTGTTTGGGGACTGTGTGGAGCGCCTGGTGTTTGGGGACTGTACAGAAAACATGTGGAGAGGCCGTTGGGGGCCAGTGTGTGGGGATAATATTAGAAATGTGCTCATTCCATGGCATTTCCTGTTCTGGGACGTTTATTTTTTAAAAATGTTTTATAATTGTTTTTCTCTGATTTGTGAAGGTATCAGAAGGAATACAGCGAGTTCAAACGTCAACAGCTGGAGTTGGATGATGAACTGAAAAGCGTGGACAACCAGATGAGATATGCGCAATTCCAGCTGGACAAACTAAAAAAAACCAACGTCTTTAATGCCACCTTCCATATATGGTATGTTATTGGTTGTCGTGCTATCATCGCGACAGCTATGACCTCACCATCTGTGTGAATGAAGACCTGCTTGTGCTTTACCATGCTTATTAGGACTAACCCCGCACTCCATTATGTGGAACCCCCCGGGGTTGGAGGACAGCCATCATGTCTGCTCCAGCTAAGCCATTGTATGGTTGAGTATGCCATTGAGGTCCCTCTCATGCAGGGATTGGCATCTTTCTTCTTCCACTTGAGTACCAGAAGCCCTTGTCCCAGCTTTGAGCACCCCTCACCACATACTCATGACATTTGTTTCTATATAGGCAGGTGCCCATACCCTTCACCTTCTGGAATCATGGGACACATAATACACCTGGTTCACCTTTAGCATGAGCTAAAGAGTAGAGTCATCAGGGGAATTGCCGATTTCACCTCAAACATACGTGTGCTTCCATAATGTCTTGAATTGTAGAACTTCAGATGATTTACAGATCGCCAATTAGCAGTGATCCTTGCTACTCCAGCCGGAATCATTCACTCTCTCCTGAAACTTTTTGTTCTCCATGTTACATAAACGTGAGGGAAAAAATTATTACAGATGTTTATTTAACCCCCTCGGCAGCGGCGCCTACCGGCCCGTTAAGGGTTTCAGAAGCCGAGAGGCGGGGCGGGGTTTTAAGGTCATGTGACCACCGTGATTAGCTGAAAGAGGCGATCGGGACTTTTTTGTGAGTACCGGACATGTGTGCTGGGAGCGTGCAGGACGCGTGCTCTCAGCACATATGTTTTTCTTAATTTGCGTGCAGCCGGCGTGAAGAGGTTTAAAGCTGAACGCCAAGCACTAAATTTATAACCCTTTGCCCTCCAGAGGATTTCCCCCGCTTCCTGACCAGGCCATTTTTTGCGATACGGTGCTGCGTTATCTTAACTGACAATTGCGCAGTCATGCAACGCTGCACCCAGATGAAATTTGCATCCTTTTTTTTCCCCCCCACAAATAGAGCTTTTTTTTCAGTGGTATTTGATCGCCTGTGCGGTTTTTTATATTTTTTGTGCTATAAACTAAAAAAGACCGACAATTTTGAGAAAAAAAGAATATTTTTTTGACTTTGCTATAAAACATATCTAGTAAAAACATTTTGAAAATCAAGTTTAGTAATAAATTTAGGCCAAAATGCACTCTGCTCCATGTCTCTGCTAAAAAAAAAATCCCAATATGTGTAAATTATTTGGTTTACGTGAAAGTATAGCGTCCAAAAATGGTGTTCTATATACTGGAATGGTTTTTTTTTTTTTCCTACTAGTAATGGCGGCGATCAGCGACTTATAGCGGGAATGCGGGACTGCAGTCGGCATTCTAACACTGAGGGGAACTGACTTGGTGTCACTGACATCCTCAGTGACACCAAGACAGTGATCAGTGCTAATAAAAAGCAGTACTAATACTAATGGCACTGGGCAGGAATGGGTTAACATGAGGGGCGATCAAAGGGTTAACTGTGTGCTGTTTTACTATGGGGGCTGTGTGGGTGTTTCACTGTAAGCACAGTGCTTTGTATGGCGGTGCTTTGCAGAGCCATACAAAGCAATGTGCAGGAGCTGACGGGAGAGGTCTGTATTGTTTACATACAGGCTTTTCCCCATCGAAAATCCTCGAAAGTCACTGGGTGCTGGCAAGGAGTCAGCAGCCGGGACCCAGTGATTGACAGCTGAGGCCACAAATGGCAGCGCGGGTAGGGGCGCACACACGCCCCCTACCCAGAATTGCAAAATCATGTGTATATACATGTGATTTTGTGCACCCGTGCCGCCCTGTAGCAGTATTTCTGTGTAGGGTGGCGCGGAAACGATTAAAGTGGTTGTAGAGCTTCTTTTTTTCTTTAATTAAAACAACCTGTTTATTGGCCCTGAACCACCTCCTTCTTGGGTCCCCCACCAGGGTTCTTGACTCCTCCTCTTCTCTGACTGCCCCCATAACAAGGCGTTTGCTTTGGGGACACTCCTGCAGGCTCGATCCCGTGCCATGCTGTGTGCGTTCATAGTCGCACACAGTTCGGCTCAGCCCTGCTCCTTCCTCACATGGTTTGGCTGATAGCAGCAGGAGCCAGTCCTGTGAGAAGAGATAGAGGGGGGAGAAGAGCTGCTGCAGACAGACACTTTCACTTAAATATATTTCTCAATAGCCACAAAGCATATCAATACACTTTGTGAGCAACAAATCCCTTTGTAAACCCAGATATTACTTTGTAAAAGTAGCAGTGGCATCATCCCTGTGCTATACATAGCCTGTATACCTACGTTCAGACCAAAACTATGCTCATCCCTAATTTTAGACAATATTTGCATACCCCAGAGTTCAGCTTTAAACAATGCAGTAAGCTTTTTAGGTTCCAGCCATTTCTAATTGCCTCCCTCTGTGACTCCCCAGGCATAGCGGTCAGTTCGGTACCATCAACAACTTCCGCCTGGGGCCGTCTTCCCAGTGTTCCAGTGGAGTGGAATGAGATTAATGCAGCTTGGGGCCAAACAGTTCTGTTGCTGCATGCCCTCGCCAACAAGATGGGGCTCGAGTTCCAAAGGTGAGACTGGATCCATCAATCAAAAACCTTTATTGTGTTTTTGTAAAAACAAAAAAAAAAAAAACCAAAACACTAATTTCACTGCTTTCCATATAGATACCGTCTTGTACCTTTTGGAAATCATTCTTATCTGGAATCTCTCACAGATAAATCTAAGGTATGGTTTTAGAAATGTTGAATGATTTGGATGAATCCTTTGTATTCGCTTAACCACTTCACGCCGGCACCTCCCGGCCCTTTAAGAATTTCAGGAGGTGGGTGGGGTTTTAGGGTCATGTGACCACCTTTATTCGCCGCCACGGCGGTCACATGATCGGAAAAGGTCCCAATTGCAAGGGGAGATCGGAACCTTTCCATGAGTCACGGACATATGTGCTGGGAGCACGCAGGGGCACTCGCTCTCAGCACATATGTATTTTCTAATGGCACTCAAATATGCGGCCGCTTGGTGTCAAGGCCCAGACATCGAGAGGCCACATATTTGCGTGCGCTCGGCGTCAAGGGGTTAAGAAGAGTTTTTTTAAAGTTTACACAGTTGCCAAAATCAACAGGCTCAAAAAAGAGAACAAGTAAAATATAAAAGGCTCGTTAGATCCATTCATTAGTTGTCTTTAACCTCTATGTACATCTCCAACTGTTGAACTCCAACCGGCATGCTCAATACTTTTTTGTTTCTTGTCTGTTGAAGGACACAGGTATTCAGATACAATCGCTTTAATTGTAAGCCAGTCCCACCTTTACCCAACGTGGCTCAATTTTTTGCTAGTGTCCTAGGGTGATGGAAGTCTTTTACCATCTTTGCTGAGAAAAGTCTAACCAGTTTATATTCGTCCTTTTCTTCATTTTTGTTTGTGGATTTCTTTTGTCAATTCCAATCAAGATTCCTCACTACATTGTGGCTTGAGCTGCTACATAGCAGCTATTGGGATCGGCCCTTCTTGAGGCTGACTTTGGACCAGGGACGGACTGATAACTCATGGGGCCCCCAGGCAATAGGGGATCATGGGGCCCCTGTGTCCTTGCCCAAACTCAAAAAAGCCTATGAAAAAGGTACCAGGGGCATCTCATGGGGCCCCCTACTGACCCCGGTCAGTGCCCGAGTTTCCAAATGGTCAGTCCGCCCCTGCTTTGGACACTATACCTATATCCCACTGGAGTAGACATGCAGGATTAACCTGGACTGTGACCTGCAGAACACTGTAGCACTTTTTACACCTGTGTGTACTGGTAAAAGTTATCTGTGGAGTGCTTTCCAAGTCCAGAGAGGTGGCATTGCCTCAGCGTTTGCCCTGCCTCTAAAAACATACTGGTGAGTACCCACTTTGAGAGCAACTACATAAGTAGATGAGATGCTTAACTCTGTAAGGAGTTTACTGACCAGCAGCTAGAACCACCCTTATATCCCAGTTTGAACTGGCTGGCTCTGCCTTCTGGGCAGTGTTGGCTGTGGCTTTAGTCTTTCAAGTCGTGTCAGATTGGATTAGATCCCCTTCCACCATTGGGGTTGACAGAGGGTGGGTGGAGTAAATATCTGGAGCACTACCCTTCAGTTATAAAGTCTTGTTAGAAGCATCTAAGATTGTACCCACATTGGTCTTATGTCCATACAGATGTGCAGAGCACTTGGTTATGCAGCTCAGACCATGATATATCCAAGGAGCATCTGACTTGTGTGGCCTTTGAGGGATGTTGACTCCTTGGACTTGCACTTGACACAGTGATTTGTAATGCCACTAGAAGCCAGAGCATACTCCTACCTCCGCATAGACGGTCTAGGGCAGGGGTAGGCAACCTGCGGCTCTCTAGCTGTTGTGGAACTACATTTCCCATGAGACATTGCAAAATTGACAGTTACAGCTATGACTTGCAGAGGCATGATGGAACTTGTAGTCCTGCAACAGCTGTAGAGCTGCAGGTTGCCTACCCCTGGTCTAGGGAGAGGTCGGCCCCTTCACCTACTTAGTAGGAGCCCCAAGAGAACAACTTCCAATCAGCTCTTAGGGATTAAATTCATTAATCGGATAGACCTTTTGAGCACTCTTCCTCATAAGGGTGCACCTCCACTTCTAATAGTGAGGGGGCTGAATGTGCATCCTGGTGAGTCCTGAGGTAATTGGTTTTCTGCCACATTGGTACAGACAGTGTCTCTGTAGGTCCACAGTCTAATCTTTTGCCTCTTGTGCCCCGTGTTTACACCTAGTTGTCCCTCCTGTATTGTCCCTCCTGTACCATGATACAGAACAATGCATCCTTTCTGGGCTCCTCCCACCTCTAGACCCCTTACTTTGGTCCAGTAGAGTCTAGAGTAACTGAAAAACCCCTTGTGGTAAATGGTACCCCTCAGTGCCCTTTTTATTCCTCCAAAACAACTTTGACCTGCATGATCAACAGTGACCAGTTTTACCTGTTTTGTACCTGAAGAAGGTCTTACACCTCTATCACTTGAGCATACCTGTTGTTTCTCGCAGCTGCATTGTGGGTTGTCCAGGTGACTTCCAGTGAAGGATCAACTTTATGGAGCCTAGTAGTTGGCACCTTCCTGAATGGCCTCACTGTTGCAAGAGACAGCCAGTTAAGGCTTTGCCTGGCTCCAGCACCGACAAGCCTCCTTTTTCAGTGGAGTGCCCAGTTCAGCTTAAGCCTTCACCCTTTGTGTGCGTAGCTCTCTGATCCTCAGATATTGAGTTCTGCTCTTCTTCTCCATTGCAAAAGGGTATGGTGTTGAGGGAATCCTTCCTTAGGGCAACCTCCTCTCCCCTATTTTTCCCCAACCCATTTCAGCCTCTCTTGGTTGTTACAATAGTGTGTTTCTGTGGGTCATATAGTACTTTGTGTTCTCCTTCAGCCTCTGCAGGTACCTAAGATCGTTTCATCCTCCCGTTTCAGGAAAATTCCTCTAATGGGAGTACCTTTTTTTTCTCAGGCCTGCCATATGGTTCTTCAGAAAAGTTTTATCCATGTCAGGGGATCAGCCCTAACCAAGTCTCCCAGGTTGGACTTCATTGGACACCATCTTGGTGCTGCAGTTTTTCTGCCCCTGAATGAATGGGAGTCCTCCCTCTGTCCCTCCAGATCTTATGTAGCAGGAGGTGATCATTGCCAGAGGGTCCTTTACCCTCCCTGGATTATTAACAAGTGGAATGCCGTCTTTCTGCTGCAAGTATCTCCTGCTGCAGATAGAGTTTACCTTAATGGGGACCTTTTCATCTGGAATTAGGTTCTTCTGTTTTGAGTGACTTGCAGCCACTTGAGGAAAGTTCTCCAGATGCCTTCACCTGTTCTGACCTTCTGCTGCTGCATAACATTAGCTGTTTGGCAGTGATTCCTGTCCCTAGTTTCCTCAGATGTTGATGCCTTATGGGACATTGAGGGATTAGGAGCTTTCTAGACCAATGTCTATGGTCTAGGTTAGGCATGCTCTGTAGAAAGTTTGACCTCTAAGCAATTGGGGGTGTTTTAATGTAACTCCTCCTCTGGTGGTCTCTTCCTCCCCAGTCTGGGACGGCAGTCAACTTCCATCCTTTCCTACACTAATTGAACCCTACTGCTTGCTCCTTCAGCCACATTTGACTTTGTAGGATCCAGCTTTAGGTTGTCAGGTTTCCCGCATACCACCTATTCTCAGATATGCCTCATTAGGCATAATTGGTAGATTGGTTGCCTGGCTACGCAACCCCTTAGGGAGTTTTCCTGCCTTTATTCTAAGGGTTAGGGTTGTAAGGATTTGGACCTTCTCATGTAGACCTTGCCTGGGCCTAGATTTTGTCCTTGGTTCCACACTGAGACCTGTTGTCTCCTGGTAGTTGTTCCGAGTTTTTATCTGTTGACCACATCCTTGTTGCAGCTTGTTCTTCTCTTTTCAGGAATTTGTTGTTGTTTTTCACATGTTTTGGTGGGTTCTGATTGATACAACCCGACTGTATCTGAATTCCTATGTCCTTAATGAACTCCCAAGAAAATGATTTGAAGGTATGTAAAATATACTATAATTATAGGCATGCCATATAATACATATGGTGGACCTACCAAGGTAAGGGAGCAATGAATACCTGTACATTATAAACCGACTTGCTGTACCCATATTGTGTGATCAAGCCCCCTTCGTTCAATCAGTATGCTTGTACAGTTTCCCCAGTGGACATACTCGCCTCGTTCTCCTCCTGCGTTACCTTTCTTCCCAACTTCATACACATATTAGTAGACAAGGCTGGGAATCAAGAGGCACTGAGCCCAAAGTAGCAGAGTATTGAAGTTCTTAGCTCTAGAGGACAGCGACAGGAGGACACAAATTAACAGGACTACATTTACATTTTAGAATGGGGTGCCTTGAAAATTTTAAAGAGTGCCTTGAGATTTCCCATAATTTAAAGGGTGCCTTGACTGATAAAAGGTTGATAAATACTGTCCTAGAGAACAGGATGTCTTGTTTACTCCATACTGTGTCTTCTTTACCAGGAGCTTCCACTTTACTGTTCAGGAGGTTTAAGATTTTTCTGGGACAACAAATTTGACCATGCGATGGTGGCTTTTCTGGACTGTGTGCAGCAGTTTAAGGAAGAAGTGGAAAGAGGGGACACTGGTTTCTGTCTGCCATACCGGTCAGTAAATTGAAATGTGGTAGGCTGCACTTTACACATTTTTATTGCATTTTACACTTTTCATTGACTAAACCCATAATATACTGTATTTTTCGCTCCATAAGACGCAGCTAGGTTTCAGAGGAGGAAAACAAGAAAAAAATATTCTGAACCAGTGGACTGCAGACATAGTACAGGAAATGACCAGAGACTGCAGACATAGTACAGGAAATGACCAGAGACTGCGGACGTAGTACAGGAAATGACCAGAGACTGCGGACGTAGTACAGGAAATGACCAGAGACTGCGGACGTAGTACAGGAAATGACCAGAGACTGTGGACGTAGTACAGGAAATGACCAGAGACTGCGGACTTAGTACAGGGGATGACCAGAGACTGCGGACGTGGTACAGGGGATGACCAGAGACTGCGGACGTGGTACAGGGGATGACCAGAGACTGCGGACGTGGTACAGGGGATGACCAGAGACTGCGGACGTGGTACAGGGGATGACCAGAGACTGCGGACGTGGTACAGGGAATGACCAGAGACTGCGGACGTGGTACAGGGGATGACCAGAGACTGCGGACGTAGTACAGGGGATGACCAGAGACTGCGGACACAGTACAGGAGATGACCAGAGACTGCAGACCTTGAGGTAGCGGAAGGGGGGGGGGAGCAGGTACCAGAATATGACAGGTACCCTTTCCCACTTCTGCGGAGTTGTCCTCCCTCCCCATCTTCTAGGACGCGTGACAGGTCCCAGAAGACTGCCGAACCATTCACAAAGTACATCGCTTTTCACGCATGCGCAGTGTGAAGCCGCAAGCTGTCACAGCCGGGTGCCCACACTAAAGATGCTGGCGCTGGGGAAAGAAGATGGCGAGGACACCACTGGGACCGAGGAACAGGTAGTACCGAGCAGTGGGTCCTGCTGCACAGAAGAGCCGAGCGGCAGCCTGGTATTCTAACACGGCAGTGGCGGGAATACTGGGCCGGCCAATCCATAAGACGCACAGACATATTATTCGCCCATTTTTTTTGGGGGGGGGGGGGGGGAGAGTGCATCTTATGGAATGAAAAATACGGTATCTTTTTTTTCATGCAATAGTAATAGAATTTAATATGTTGCCATAAAAGGAGATTAACATTCACATCCTATCAGTATTTTTTTTATCTCTGCATGAATACATTCCTTGTTGTGTTTTTTTTTTTCTTAAATTTCATTTTGGTGTGTTTGGATAGTGTGTACCCATGTGCTGTGGTTTCACCACCCTGTAGCCATGACATCACAGGACACCTTGCAAGACAAAATGGTGATTTAGCAGCTAGAGCAGCTCTTTACGTCTGGAGGAAAAGAGATTTAACCTCCAAAAACAGAATGGCTTCTTCACAGTAAGAGCTGTGAAAATGTGGAAAAGACTCCCTCAAGAGTTGGTTGTGGCCAGCTCTGTAGATTGTTTGTTTGATAAACGCCTGATTTCTTTTCTAAGTCCACAAAATATAACGGGATACTGATAGTTATGGGTAAAGTTGATCCAGGGAATATCTGATTGCCTCTTGGGCGATTTGTTTTCCCCTGGAAGGGAGGGATTTTTTTCCCCTGCTGGAGCAAATTGCATCATGCTATATTGGGTTTTTTTCCTTTGGATCAACTGTGGGTATAGGATTGTATATAATTTTTTCCCTCCTATTGATTGAACTGGATGGACTTGTCTTTTTTAACCAGACTAACTGTATAACTACGTAGAATCACAATGCACCGTGGGGCATGTAGAATTCCAATGGTAAGAGAGAGATTGGAGTTGCCTCCCACCAAAGGGTAATCGACTTTCAACATTAGAATTGGGGGGGGACATTTGTGGCCTAGGGATATAACACATTAAATGCAGTCAATTTGCAACTAGAGGGTACATTGCACATAATTGCCCTCCCTGAGCATTTTGGAACCACAAAGATGCTTTCCCTGCTTTTAGTTGAAATGCGTCATTGCTCACCACTTAAGCTGGCCATACACTGATCAAAATTGGTCTAGTTCAGCCGGGACTGGCTGGATGTTGATCAGTGTATGGCCATCCCTTCTCAACAAAAGTTGATGACTTCTGTCCAAGGGACAAGCTGGCCTAGCAAGCTGCAGCCGTTGATCAGTGTATTCTGACACTTGCAGGTGCTGCTCTTAGAATACAATGTCTCAGGGTATAATACCCAAATCCACCTCATTTGTGTGAATTGAGGAATTTGTTGGCTGAAGAAAAAATAATAAAAATTGGTGTATGGCCAGCTTTACTTGGCTGCTACTGATAGTTGTCCATATGATGGTTGAATGTGGAAAACCCCTTCTGTAACATGCTGGTTACTGATGTTGATGGAATATTGTAGTGGTTCTGTCTGTTGCAGACCAAGAACTCAACTCTCTAGGTAGTAATAGCTCATTTTTTTTGCATATCCTGACAGGATGGATGTTGAGAAGGGCAAAATTGAAGACACCGGTTGCAGCGGCGGATCCTATTCTATTAAGACACAATTCAACTCTGAGGAGCAGTGGACCAAGGCCCTGAAGTTCATGCTGACCAACCTGAAGTGGGGATTGGCATGGGTCTCCTCACAGTTCTACAACAAGTGACTCAAGGGGGATGTTGGATGGACCGCATCACCTATTTAATGAATTGATATCTGGGAAGCCGAGAAGGCATTCTCATAATATCTGTACCTTAAGCTGTCATTACCCAGAGCTGGATCTTTCACGTCTACACAATGCTAAAGCAGCCTTTAACTTTTCCAAATGTTGCACTGATGTCAACCTTATACGGTGGCCATTTTATGTCAAAGAATGGTTATTTTTTAAAAGCAGGAATGAGAACGTATATTTTAAGTCCTAACAAATAATTCTGGGACCGTGTATTTGTGTATGTATATATTTCCCACAGTCTGTATAATGAATTAGCCCCATATATTAAATAAAAGTATGGACATGCAATGCTGATATTTTTCGTTCTGTACTGAGATATTCTGTAATTGGCACATGTAAAAGAAATTCACTTACAGTTCCCCTTATCCACTCCAACCAGCATAGAATGGACGCGTTTTGACTGATGTGGGTCTTGTTCAGGGCAACATTACACTGATGTTTAACCGCTTGCCCCCTGCCCTATAGCAGAACTACTGCTGCGCAAAATCACGTGTGTGCAGGGGCGGACTGACCATTTGGAAACTCGGGCACCGCCCGGGGTCAGTAGGGGGCCCCATGAGATGCCCCTGGTACCTTTTTCATAGGCTTTTTTGAGTTTGGGCAAGGACACAGGGGCCCCATGATCCCCTATTGCCCGGGGGGCCCCATGAGTTGTCAGTCTGCCCCTGCGTATGTGTGTGTGTAAATGTGTGTGTGTGTGTATATATATGTGTGGTGTGTGTGATTTGCATTTCTGGGTAGGGAGCGTGCGCCCCCCTTGACGGTTAGGGATGTCGATTACCGTATCCCTGCCGGAGATTTATTTATTTAATTTCAGGTACTTGTATAGTGCCGTCAATTTACTCAGCACTTTACTTATATATATATATATATATATATATATTGTACATTCACATCAGTCCCTAACCCTCAAGGGGTGTACAATCTAAGGTCCCTAACTCACATTCATACATACACATACAAGGGACAATTTAGACACGAGCCAATTCACCTACCAGCATGTCTTTAGAGTGTAGGAGGAATCCGGAGTACCCGGAGGAAACCCACACAGGCACCGGGAGAACATGCAAACTCCAAGCAGGTGCTGCCATGGTTGGAATTCGAACCAACAACCCTAGTACTGCCAGGTGGAAATGCTAACCATTTAGCCACTGTGCTGCCCGGAGATTCCCCGCCAGCACCCGGTGATTGCCGTGTAAAGGTGACGGGAGAGACCTGTGTGTAAACAACAACTCTCCTGCCAGCAAGGACATGCTGCTTTGTATTTCTCTACACAGCGTGTTTCCATAGTAAAACTCCCTCAAGTGCTTATTAGTCTTGTACCCGTTTTGATCAGAGGACTTTGTAAAAACTGGTCTGCCCTCTCTGAGGATCCAGCAGGGGCCTGCGCTAACAAACTAGAACCCCACCGAAAAGTGAGTGAAGGGCCTCTCTAGAGCTCTGTTCTCACCAGCAGGTCATGCGTTTCACCCTGTTTGGGTTGTGTGGTTAATTTGACACTGAGTGGTCTAAGGCTGCCAGAAGGGATGTGATTACTATTGTAATTTATCCCCTGGTCATAGAATGTCGGGAGCAAATGGCTTTAGCCCTCGCCTACAGCATTGACAGGCAGTTTCCAGTCTCATTTCCCACATGAGGCTCCTTCAACTCTAATAAAGTCTTGCTCCGCATGGCATAAGCAAGGTTGCAAGAGCTCCAAGTCTACCCCCCCTGACAAATCCTCTTTTGAATTAAATGCATGCAAATTTTCAAAAAGTGGGGGGATGTCTGTTAGCCTTTGCAGGCACCTGGACTGCCTGTATCTCAGATATTTGGTGTGGGTCATATTTTCAAAGGGTTACAAGCTAGAGTTTTGCTCTCAGCCCCCTCCTTGGGTCATCACTTCCTAACTACCTGTGTCACCATAGAAATTAGCAGATCAAGAGGGTTCTCTAGAATGCAGTGCCATTACCCCAGTTCCTGCGGCAGAACCAAAAGGGGGCATTCACCCCATCTTAGATCTGAAGCTCTACATGTCTTCATTTGAGCTCAGAAGTTCAGTAAAGAATCCACCAGGTCTATCATCACCTCCCTTCACCGGGCAGTTCTGGCATAGAAATGTAGGAATAATTGTATTAGAAGAACCACTACACCTCTGAATAAATAATAATTTTGATGGTTTTAGGTTCCAAATTTCTTTGCTTGATTTTGAGATTGGAATTATTAGTGTTCCAGATTCTGTACCCATGGAAGACTGTTTTAGCTTGTTTGGTGCATTCTCCTGGTACAAGTAAGGCTACATTTGCATGGATGTTTACCTACGCAGTGAATCCCAATGGCAAATATGTAATCTTGGGGCTGGGATTCACAGGCGTGTGTGTAGCTGCTATTCGTGACTGTTCAGATAGCCAGCAATTGCCTGCAGTGACTGCGGCTGGACGCACAAAAGTGCCTTTAGGTCTCAAGTTGCTAGTCACTTCCAGGAGAATCGCCCTGTAGCCTTGATGGGGATATTGATGCTTAACCCCTTCATGCCTAAGGGTAAAACAAATCTAAATGCCTACGCCCAATTCTGCAGCATTGACATGTGATAGTAAAACCATACATATCATCACAACTACTTTGTACATCCAGGTGGATTATACCTTGATTTTTTCAGGACAAACTGGGCTTTCATTTGGTGGTAAATGGTAATGGATATCTCCTGATTTTTTTTTTTTTTTTTTTAATCAAAGGAAATCTGGCCCAAAATAGTAAAAAAAAATAAAAATATTTTTTTTTTTATTTAGCTGTGTGTTTCTTGTTACGACCATAACCTACCACCAAAGAACAACCCAAAATAAATTCTCCAGCTCTTGACGATCGCAGCGATACCATATATGTGTGTTATTTATACCCGTAGTACAGCCCATAGTACGCATTTTGTTTTTGTCTTTTTTACCTAAAATACACTGACACCAATTTTTTTTTTTAATCCTGACCTTTGACCCTGACCTAAACACTAACCCTGGCATTGAACTAGATCAAACCTTGATCTAGGTATTTTTCTTTATTTTTTAATATTTATTTATTTTTACAAACATTTTTTTTTCTCTCTCTATGCCAGGACTTTGAGAGATACAATGTATCTTTCTTCTCCATTCATAGAGAGAGAAAAAAAACAAGGGGGCCGGGCTGCACAGTGACTGATCACTGTGATAGCCAATCAGAGGCTATCACAGCGATTATGTGACCCAAGTCCCATTCATTAGAACGCGACCCGATGCTCTCAGTGACACCGCGGTGTCAGTGCTGGGAGCACGCTGCTAAAGACAGGTACGCAAATATGCAGCCCCACGGAAAAAATCCCAGTTCTGTGAGGCCGCATATTTGTGTGACGTCGGCGGGAAGGGGTTAAAGTTGTAAATGCTGAAGGTTTTTTTACCTTCATACATTCTATGCACAAGTCCTCCTGCACACAGGATATTTTTACAGCGGCTGTTTTTGGCTTTTGACATTTTTTTTTCTACAGCCAGCAAACCCCCCAGCATGTTATCCTATGTGTCCATACACTCAGACTGTAATCGATGGTTTTTTGGCTGGAAAAATAACCCAGGACTAGTGGGTTTGTAGAGGAGGTTTTTAGCAGTAAAAAAATGTTCTAACGCTGTAAATCGTTACAAACCAGCATTTCTGGACCTTTTGACAAAAAAAAAACGCAAATGTGAAAAAAATGCTGCTAAATGCTAATAGAAAATCGCTAAAAAAAAAAAAAAAAAATCTGAAAAACTTATGTTTTTAATATGACTTTAAAAAGCCCAGTGTCCATGGAGCCTGTGTGCAGCAGTGCCCCCAGCCCCTTTCATACCTACCTGAGCCCCATCGCAATCCAGCAATGTGAACAGCCGTTTCAGCTGTCCCGAGTCTTTGCCTCCTCATTGGCTGAGACAACAGGGGGAGCCATTGGCTCTCACTGTTGTCAATTACAGCCGATCAGCAAAATGAGGAGAGAGGGGGCAGGGACCAAGCCACAGCTCCCTGTGTGAATGGACACATGGAACAGCGGGTGCCCCCATAGCAAGCTGCTTGCTGTGGGGGCACCCGACAGGAGTGATGGACCTGAGGCAGCAGGGGACTCCAGAACAGGAGGATCCAGGCTGCTCTGTGCAAAACCACTACACACACTAGGCAAGTATAGACACATTTTTTTTTTTTTTTTGGAAAATAACAAAAGGAACCTTTTAGGATTGTGTTAGTGGTTGTAAACCCTTCCATCTACCCAGTGAAGTGACTGGCCTCAGGTGATACACAAAGATGGAACAAATCCTCCTACATATGTTGTACCTGTTTATCTGCTGTCTTCTCTACTTCCATTCTAAGTGTTAAATTTTAAAGCTT